GAAACGTTTCTACTTTTTTTTTTTTGTTTTGCTTTGTTCTTTGAATGTTTAGAGGACCAGACTTAACTTTTTTTTTTTTTTTTAGATTTTTCTACCTGGATTATTGAGCATGCATTAGGATATGTAATACAGTATTAGCTCGTTTTGGATTAAAAACCGTAAAGCTGTGGCGCTTTCTGCTGTATGGTCATATTTCAGAGCTGCAAATTGCTCAAATCTGCTCATGCTGAATAAAAATAAACAAAAAAAAAAGTGCATTTGTTTAGCCAAACTTGTTGCCAAGTCCTCATTTTGCCCATCTTTTGTCACCTTTATAACCTATTTTAACCTATATTTGCAAAGGCAAACTGTTGTATACTGAAGTTTAAATGATCCCATGCGGTAAGCAACCACAAAATGAATGCGTTTGTATTCCAAGAGTTATATTTTTCTTGTAGTGGGTCATGAAGATCGTGGACTTTCAATACTGCGCACAGAAACGTCTTTTAAATCTCAGAATATTTGATCATGTCATGCACTGTAGAGGCAGAAACCTACACACTCTTGGTGCTTCTACACTTAAGGCAGTCTTTATGCTTGAAATTATGCCGTGTATGAATCAGTCCTCCTTTCATAAATGCCAATTATGAGTCAATCTGTGCAACAGCTATCCAAGCAAACTTAAAGACTTCTTTAAACTTAACCGTTGTTCGTGAACAGAGCAGACTGCTATCCCTCCCGACAAGTAAAGCAACGCCAGGAAGTGAAACAACAATCCTACTTTAGTACATAATTAAATTCCACAAACTGCCTCCTATTATGTTCTCTTACTGAGGGTCACAGTGTTAGCCAGAAAAAAAAAAAAAAAAACGGAAAAGCAGAATGCAAGCAGCATTATGTATTGAGTAAAAGTAAGCCTGTTGGAGCCCGACGCCTCAGCAGGAGATGAGTGTGTGCAGACTGGATATGCAGATTGGAGAGCAAATTGAGAGAGGAACATCCTGCCTTAAACCCAAATGACTGCCGCCATCCATCATACCCCGCGCTGCACGAGTCGTGTTTGTCTTAGCGTGTGTTTAGGTGTGTTGGTTCGCGCTACGCATTTCCATAATTGCATTTGCTGTGGGAAGAGGAGCACTTACTCTCATTTTCGGGTGTGATTTATCAACCCAAACGATTCGAGCCAACGCACACATTCATTTATCTCGACGGTGACCTTTTTTACGAGCAAAAGAACGGTCACCTTTTCTATTTATATATATATATATATATATATATATATAATTTCCTGGCCTCTTCCAGAATAAGTGTAGTTGGATTGCACTGAGGTTGCCTCTTATTCCTTTCTTGAATTGTTAAATTGATCGTTTGTATAAAGTAAATAATGTTATAAGAGTAGAACTATAAAACAAGAAGCTTTATGTATAGTTCCAATTGGAGAGCTTGTCAAGTAAAGGGAAAGCACTTGAAGCGAAAACTGAAACTTTTACCTTGAAAACTTCAAGGTCTTCGCTGCTTCTCTTTGCCTGAAGCCAAGCAAAAGAAAAAACACGAGCCGATTTGCTAAGAGACAAACTCAGCCACGCATGAGAAAGTGACCGTGCATCTAAGTGCAGTCATGAACAGCGATTGCGCAAAAAGACAACGATCTCTCATTATTATCCAGATGAACATTTCAGGTTTGAAATACGGGAATACATTGATTTCTAACTTAAATGAGCAAAATATGTACGTTTTTGTTTCACTGCTTAAACAGTTGAGATGTAACATCAGAACTAAAAGTTCCTGAAGAAACTTTGACGGGGACTGCCTATTCATTATTAAATTATTATTAATAATAAATATTAACATGGATGATTATTAATATTAATAATTAACACTGATTATTAATTATCAACATGAACAATTTTAATATATTGTCAATGTATTAATTATTATTAAAATATTATTAATAATTAATAATATTCACAATAATTAATGTTACACATTAAATATTAATATTAATCATTATTAATATTAAAATAGAGCATTATTAACATGAATAATTAATGCTAATTATTATTATTACTAATTAATATGATTGGGCAGCACAGTGGCGCAACTGGTAGAGCTGCTGCCTCTCAGCGAGCAGGTCCTTGGTTCAAACCCCGGTCCAGGGGGCCTTTCTGGGTGGAGTTTGCATGTTCTCTCCGTGCATGCGTGGGTTTTCTCCGGGTACTCCGGTTTCCTCCCACAGACCAAAAACATGCATGTTAGGCTGATTGGTAACTCTAATCTGGCCCTAGGTGTGAATGAGAGACTGAATGGTTGTTTGTCTCGTTTGTCTCTATGTGGCCCTGTGATGGACTGGAGACCTGTCCAGGGTGTACCCCGCCCCTCGCACAGTGATTGCTGGATATGGGCACCAGCGACACCTGTGACCCAAAATGGAATAAGCGGGTAAAGATAATGGATGGATGGATGGATGGATTAATATGATTAATAATAATATGTGATAATAGGTAATAATAAGTGCCTTCCATGCATTGCATTATGCACTGCCTTCCTTGAATGTTGAACCAAAATGGCTCCATGCATTACTCAGTTTCCGTGAATAGTTTTCTCCTATTCATTTCCTATGGGAAATTTGGCATCTTTCTTAGCAAAATATGTCACCATGGTAACAGCGAATGCCAATAAAAGTAATTGCACACTTCCCGGTGCTGGGCCAGTCGTTTTGATATAACTTTTGTGGAGTTCCACTTTGTGGTTTGTGGTTCGGGCCGCATTAAAGTCGGAAATATATACGCTTTTCAGGTGTAGAATAATAAGTGGCCAGTCACCAACTAGTTCCTGGAGTTGGTGAAATATTGCGTCTTTGTT